CACATCCAGCCCTTTCCCTGACCAGCCAGCTATGGGGACCAAGGGAGGCGGCCCTCCACAACAGTCCCAGTTTCTTATGTGGTCCCTTGGGAAAAGGGCTAAACAGGGCTGCTTTGTATATGTGGATGAGACAACTCCCAATCTGAGGGACAGGACAGCCAAGATTTCATTAATTGGAAATGACAGGAAGGTCTAGAACAAGGGTGTCAAACCCACATCATCACGGCGGTGTCACGTGACCTATCGGGACTTTTCTCCCCTTCGGTAAACCAGGTGTGGGTGTGGCCAGCGCATGACGCATCCGTCCCATGGCCTGGAATTTTGACAGCCCTGGTCTAGAATTTAAAGGAAGGAAGGAAATGTGGGAAGCTCCCCTTCCTAGAAGAATGAAATATTTTGAGGAATATTAAAAATAATATTAAAATATTACACTGTATTTCCCCAAAGGGAGAAATGTGTTTAGAGGCAGAAAGCAGCCCCCAATTTTTCTTAATAGCGCACAGCAGATGTCAGCATGTAAGGAGATAAAGAGCTTATTGAAAAAAGAAGCCAACTATCTAGATGGCTCTATTCATAGGCAAATACTGCAGACAGAAATCCATTCAAGACAGGATATTTTGAAACTGCTTGCAGCAAAATTTGATAGTAACAAAAGCAGAGTAATAGTATTAGAAGCAACCCTTCACCCAAGACCCAACACAGGAAGAAAGTCATGAGGCACAATAGGAATTGCCGAAACCCTTTCAGAACACAAGCGCCTTCATTGCATTACCTCCAAAGCAGTCCAAACTTCACCTGGAAGCTCAGATAAACAATAAGCCAGAGGTTGACCAGATTAGCTCAGATAAGCACCTAGGATTTGCATTTCCTCTTTTGCCTATAGTCAGCTATGACCCCTACCTGACCCCATAGGAATCTGACCACAGCCAATAGAATATTAAAGGACATGTTCTTGCACAGGAACAGGAAGCTCAAATATAAAGCCCAAAGAACGTATAAAAAAACCTGCACTCTCAACTCCATTTTATCAGCTGACTCAGGACTGCTGTTGGTTCCGTTCATCATTAAACTTTCTTTCCAATCAGCCTCCATGTTTCCAGAGTCTTTCTCCTAGCTTGAAACTGAACCAAATGGATCTCTCTTCCCATGGAAGGAAGGAAGGAAGGAACGGGACGAAATGATTCTAGTCAAGATTTATTGCCATAATTAGTTTGAAATCTGGACAATGCAGGATTGCCAGGTCTCTTTGCTCCAGCAGAGTAAGGAAGATACTTCGGGACGATTCACACCTTGGTCAGTGTCTTTTCTCATTTTTACTATCAAAGCAGAGCCAGAAGCATAGCCAGCCGGACAAACAGGTTTAAAAACAGCTTTTATCCATGGGCTGTCAGACTACAATCATTCCATGCATACATGGAAAGATATGACTGGCTTCTCCCTAATTACTTGTATAATGACCACTTTCTATATTATTCATGTTGTATTGTACTTTTGTTATGGATAGCACCAGCAGAAGCAAAAATAAATTTTGTTGTACATGTGTATAATGACAAAAAAAGGTTGTTGTTGTTATTATTGTTGTTGCTATGAAAACTCGTAAACTTGATAAAACAAAAGAAATTCATAGCTGAAGATACAGGAAGGATGGAGTGGGGAGATCCACTTTGGATTGCTGCTTCATTGTCCAGCATTTTTAGAGAAAGAGACAAACCCTGAGAACGGAAGCGCTGTGTAAACACTGCAGGTCTTTGACACAGTCCCAAAGCAGCACAGAATGTGGACGAGACTGGACGGCCGGCCGAGTTATTTTGAAGCAAAAGGCAGGGAACACTGAGCGGCCAATTGAGGCTTTTCCCAGTGCCTGAGATTGGGAGTCTCCTGTGCGGGGAACGGGAAGGGAAGAAACCAACCACAAACCTCACAGCTCCAGGGTTATTCAGGCTCGACTAGATGGGAGGTTTTGCTGACTGCCTGGCTGGAGGGAAGGTTTTTCAGCCGCTTGTCATGTCTTCTGGCAGCCTTTTCTTTTATTATTCTTTTCTTCTGCTACTTTTCTGATTTAGAAATGAATAGGCCCCTTAGGGTCACTTGGTGGTATGGGGGAAAGTGGATGGCAGGAACACTTGGTTAATACAGAAACAATTTAATTTTATTAAATAACTGAAAAAGAAAGACTTCCCTTGTTTCTACAGATTAACCCAATCCCTCAGGTGCTTTCTAAGCCTGCCTCTTTATGCGGAGAGGGCATTCCAGTCTGGAAAGCTGGCACTCCTGACCTCACCATGTTTCCCTGGAATCTGAAGTGGATGCAGGTCCAGTCTCTTCCTCGATAAAATAGATCAAAGTAGAAACATGCTGGGGAGTTATGGTCAGCTGAAGACAGCTCTGTGAAATGGAGCCGCAAAGACCAAGAATCTGCGAGTAGACCAACTCCTTGGCACCTCTTTAGATAAGGAGAGGATGGGAGATTGCCCAAGAAAGCTGCTCCCTGCCAGGAGACTGCAGGACAGCCGTTTTCCATGGCTTTGGGCACAAGAAGATTATGGAATCTGCCATCTTGCTTGCAACTGGTGCAGAGTTTTAAAAGACAATTAAGTCTGCAAGTCTCTCTTTTTAAATACTTTTGGAAATTGCTTGTTAAGTATCTTACTTGTGCTAGTGGTGAATTTATGACCATAACTGGAACCTCAGTCATTCAAACGTTTGTTAAGTGAGACATCACGAAAAGGCTTTGCTGAACAACTGCAATGCCAGCACTTCCAGCTGTGGGGAGGCACTTTCGTCCCAGGGAAAGCGTGCAGGGTGCCCCAAGCAGGGAGGGGGACGCCCCACTTTTGCCTCCACAGAGGCAAATCTCCCCACTGAGGCTGAAATCCAAACAGGATTTTCAGGAGAAATTTTTCAGAGAGGCTCCTTTGACTTTCTAGGACAGGGAGGAGAGTCGTGGGCGACCACACGATCCCACGCAGAGTGAGCAGCGGTCAAGCCCACCCCCATCCCAACCGGGGCCGCAGAGGCGTTGTAACTTGAAACGGCCGCTGAGAAAAACGGTCGTTAAGTGGAGGACCAGGTCCAGGCCTTCAGAAGGGCTCTTTACGGCCATATCAACACCGAGACTCCCGAAGAGGCCGCAGGATTGGCACCCCGCCCCGCTCGGCCCCCAAGGCAGACAGGGAGCCCAGGGACCCGGGGGGGACGAGACCGGCGGTGGCGCTGGAGGGGAAGGGGGGCATTTAGGCCGCGGTGCTCCCGAGGGCCAGACGCAAAGACTTGAGGGCCTGGCGGGCCCCTCGGCCTCCGCCGCGTCGCTCGGCAACCGCAAGAGGGCACCCGCCGCCAGCAGCTCCTCTCGCGCCCCGCCCCCCCCCCCCCGCCGGCTCCGAACGGCCCTGCGGAGCTGCGCCCCCTTCCGGCGGGGCCGCCTGTTGGCGTCTGGGGGGCGCGTGCACGGGGGGCGGGAGCGCGGCCGCGTCTGAGGCCAGTGGGTCGTGGCGCGGGGGCGGCCTGGCAATTTGGGGGGCTCCGCGGCTCCTTCCGGCCCTTCTGCTCTCGGGGCTGGCGGAGCCCAGTGGCCAGTCCGCTCCCCACCCGAGAAGGCTCTCAGGCCGGGAAAGACGGCGTCCTGCGGGGGCTCCCTCCGTGGGCCTGCGTGGCCGGCTCTGGGCTGCTGCAGGGTCAGGTGCGCCCGGCTGGGTTTCCCTCCAGCCCTTTGGCTCCGCTCGGCTGAGAAGCGAGGAAGGGCCTCCGGAGCCGCGACGGAGGGCAGGGCCGCGGGGAGCCCCACCCCGGTCCCTTCTCTGGCCACAGGCAGCGTGGCTGGCGCTGAACCGAAGCAGAGAAGAGCCCCCTGAAGGGCGGAAACAGGGCGACGGGGGGCGGCTCCTGCCAGCCCCGCCTGAGTGCCCGGGAGGAGAGGCCGGTTCTCCGAGCTGCGCCAAAGGCCGGCGGGGGGCGCTTTGTGGGAAGGAGGGATCCTGGCGGAGATCCCCCGAGGGCTTCCTCTGGCGGAACAGCCGGGATTGCCTTTGAAGGGCGCCACTCAGCCTTAGTCATCGGGGGAAGGCAAACCCTCTCGCCTGCGGCAGACTCTCTGCGCTAAGGCGTCCTTCGGGTTTATTTGGCGGTGACAAGTTAATCTCTGTGTGTGTGTGAAGCAGAACTGCTGATGGTGCACAATCCTGGCTCTCAGCCCCTGCAGGCAGCGTTGAAGCCGCAGCAGAAGTTTTTACAAACTGGGAGTAAATCTGGGTGGTGCAATTCTTTCCCGCTGGCAGAGAAATGTCAGATACACAGCAGCCTTTTTGGGATCATTCAAAACCTGTGGAATTTGTTTAGAGCTTGGAACAGCCAGTTAGGCCAGTTAGAGTTCCTGGCTGGCTGTAAATGCCTGAGCTGTGCTCCACCAAATGCTCTGGGCAAGAGAGACGAATGTAACTGTTCTCTTTGTCCCCACAAAATGCTCCCTTTTGTGCCTCTTTAAGTACATCTCTTTGGCTCTCGCCTGTCATGTATTCTAATGCTCTTGGGACACGACATTAATGTAAGGGCAGATAATGCAGCGTTGCCATATATATTTTGTTTTGTCTGCATAATGCAGTATATCCCGAAGGAACCATAAAGAATGGTTTATAGCCATAAAGAATTCTTGAACCTTAACTGAGTTTATTATCATGTATATAGTATAGTGGTTGAGAATATGGTTTTGTGAGCTTTGTAAGAGCAAGAAAGACACATTCTGGTGCATGCTCTTCTGCCTCTTTCATGTTCACAAACACATGCCATGTATTCTCTCACATGCTACAATCATAATAGCTGAACAGGAACCACACCCTGCTCAGTCAGGAAAGTTTTTGCAGTGTAAGCTGTCTGCCGCCAATCCGTCGGGACTAGGTGAGCGCTCCGCTCTGGCGCTGCAAGAACTGTCTTGGGGAAAGTTGGGGGTCTGGAGGGATGGGGAGCTCCTCCAGTTGCCCTTCGTGATTGCAGCCTGAGAGATCCAGTTGCCAGCTCTGCTGACTCTCCTTCTCTTGGTAGGATTCCCGGCCACTGGACGGCTGCATCCAGAACATCCTCTCTGGGCTTTACCCTCCCTCTGGAATCACATCAGCCAGGTCTTTGATGTGGTGGAGAAGCTCTGCGGCAGGGATGGCCTCTGCTACCTCACCGACCTGATTCCTGCCAAGCACATCTTGTGGTGGGTCCAGCGGGAAGCCTGTGAGTATCTTGCTGCCTCCAGGCTCAAAAGGAATCGTCTCTCGAAGGGAGGGAGCCTAATAGCCAGGCTGGGTCTGCAGCCAAGAAGCCCTAAAGGGTGCCCAAGGCCTTGCGATTCTTTGCCCCACTCATTCCTAAGCAAACAGAACAATACTGCAGAAGCTTTCAAGGGCCAGAATTGTTAGACTTTATCGTATTAAATGTGTATAACTTGTATTTACCAAAATAATGCTTAGGCAGATGACTTTTCAAAGAACTGCAAGTGTTAGAGAGCAGGTTTATATTTAAGATAGGTGCCCATCTCACAAAAGTAGCATTTTTTTTATTGAGATGATGCCAAGGGATTCAGATCTCTTAAACTCACTATGCTGTGAGGTCACAATGCCAGCAAAGTTGAGGGTCTCCCCTGGGACAGTGAGGGGCTCGTTTTCCCTGCTTAAGCGTGACCACAGAACGTGACCAAGATTGCAGCTTGAATCGGGCTCAAGTGGCTCCTTTCAGCCTCCCCGTAACTGTTTCCTTTCTATGGGGCTCATCTAAGAAGGGGAGTCAGTCACCTTTCCTAATAGTATTCACCTTAAATGCATCTTTTGGGAAAGTTATTTTCAAAAGAGGAGTTACTTAAAATGTTATCAAGCTGCCAAATTCTGCTTGCCCCAGATAACAGTCCAGCTGTTGTACTCACTTGATGTTTCCAGTGGATTTCAACATCTTCGTGTGTGTTATTTAAGCATGGAAGAGAACTTTCAGATTGAAGAATAATACTACTATGCTCAAAATGATGAGTATACATGCTTCAAACTGATTTGGAATAATTGCTTTAGCTTTAAAAAAGGGTGAACAGAGTACCCTTTTGCTACTAATTGAAGTGGACCCAACTTTTGTCAGAGTTTTGCATGAGATAGAAAAAAAAGATTTACCTGCTTTAATGAGATAGCTCTTTATGTGACTTTTCAGACAATCACAACTTTTGTTAGCCCCATTTGGAAGCAAAGACAGGACAGCTTTAAGTCATAAAACACTGGCGTGATAGTCATACAAAATCTTCATATTCTGAATAATTTTCTGCACAGCCTTTTTGAAAGTAGCAAATTCAGGGGAATGAATGCTCTATTTCTACCTTATTCCACAAGTAAGGACAGCTACTTCTTAGAATAAGTAATGCATCATTGTGTGCCAGGCTTAATATCTTTAAGCAATTATGAACCTGAAATGGCTTTTTCTCAAGTATGGGATGCTTATAATTATGGGATGGGGGAGATAATATTAGATTCTCCCTTATTGAGAAACTGCTGGTAAACGATTCCCTTGGCTTTTCTTATTCCATCAGGTTCCGTGTTACAGTTTGCTCTTCCAGCATGAGGCTGGCCCTTTTGGTTCATGAGAAGATCGTCATCCAGCTGGCTTCTCTCGACTGGTGGATCTTGAGACCAGAGAATTTTTACCTGCAAGTGGTTCTGTACTTGAGAAAGTCTCCATGGATCATAGCGAAATCCTTGGCCAAGGAGAAACATAGCGTGGAGGAGTTTGTGGCATCTGCTGCCTTGTGTGTCTCTCTCTTCACTGTGGAATGGCTGAGCTCAGTCAGCAGGAAATGGTTGAGAACCACACTGGAAAACTGCTTCTTAGCCACAGAGGGTGAGATATTCTGAGACCGGCCTTGGGATAATGGAGGAGCCTGCCGATCAGGCACGTGGGAGCCCAGAGCTCAGGGAGGCCTGTGGAAGGGATGGGGAAGGAGAAGAGGCGGACTTGGCAGATGACTCCCTGCCCACCTCTGGCCGCCCGAAAGGATCTTCTGCTCAGCCCAGCACTTTCTGTTGCCTGGAAGTCAAGGACAGCCAGCAGCACAGTCAGAACAATAGGCCTCGCTGGGGAAATTGTGCTGGTTCAGCTGTTGCATCGGTGCCATCTGGGCAGCTGAGGACTTCTGACATGCCAACTGTTGCATGTTCTGAAAATAATGAAACAGAGTGTGATAAATTGTTCCCGAAACATCCTGGCAACCCAGAGGATCATCCAGCTTCTTTGAGTCCCACTGTTTCCTCTATTAAGGAACCACAGTTTGCCAAGGTGTTATTGACACATCCAGGACGGGAGCTTGATTGGAGGCCTGCCACGTGCAGTTACAAGGATGGAGAGGAGGCTGAAGGTCAGGCTCCTGGGGCAGGCTCTTCCACCGTGGCAGGAGGCTGCTTGGGGTCCCCCAAGCCTTCTGCATCCTACCCTGATGCAGGTGACGTCGTCCTGACAGAGATCAGGAACTGCGAGCGGGATTCTGACAGCTTTACAGAAAGGCTGGAGAGAAAGGCAACTTCTCCAACCATAATCAAATCATCACAGCTGAGAACCTTTTCAAGGAGGAGAGTAGCTGATCACCAATCCTCACAGAAACACTTGGTGGAAGTTAAAGGCCAATCTTCTGAATGGTTGAAACAACTGCATCTTCTAGAGCACACGGAAGGGACACTAGTGGACCCATTAATGGAGTTGGGCAATAGAATAAGCATGGAAGGACATCACCAGTCGCACACTAAGCAAAGCCCCCCGAAGAATGAGTGGCAACTTAATTCTGGAGACCCTTTAATCCCCAAAAGCTCCCTTTCCCAGGAGGCAGGGCAAGAAAATGTGGATAGTTGTCAACAGCGAGCGGGAGACAATCTTCTGCTTCCCAGTTCTGAGGCTGAGCCAAGGAAGAGCATGAAAACAAAGCCGAAGGAAAATGGCCCCAGGCCTCTAGCAGAAGAAGCCGCTGGGCAGGCAGAGGCCCCCCACAGCAGCCTCCACCAAGGCGGTGCTGCAGCACCTTCTGTGGATCAGCCCGATCTCTCGCCACATGCTTTGCAGATAGGTGTTTCCAAGAAGGTGGGAAGAGAACAGGGCAGCCAAGCCCCTTCCCCAGACAAGGAGTCAGGCACGGGGGCCTCCCTGGAAGGTGGACGCAACTCAATCCATGAAGCTCCAAAGACAAACTCCTTGGCACCCCCCCTCCCAGCCCTGTTTCCAGCTCAGGCATGGCCAGAGCACACCGAGCTCATCCCAGAGGGGGATCAGGCCACAGGTATGATACATTCGGCCACTTTCTGCCCTTCCCTGGGGAAAGGGAGATGGAGTGTGCCAGGCAGGGCCTCTTTCCGGAACAGGAGAATGGCAGGAAAGGGAACTCAAGTTTAGAATGGCACAGTGGTTAATTGCAGAGGCCAGCAGCCTTTTGGGCTAGTGGACCTTTTAAGGATTTTGAAAATATGCCATGGGCAAAGAATTGCCTCAGAAGGGTTGGCCCATTGGACATGTCAGGAGCACAGCAAACTCCCTATGTATAGCTTCCCTGGATGCTTCCTATAATTTCTAGCTTATCTTTTTTAGTTTTTGCTGGACAAATTGGGCACGTTTAAAGAATAGCAGTGCTCCCCCTAGGCTGTTAGTTAGCTGATTTTTATTTTCTGCTGGTGGGTCATTGGGCATTATTGGAAATGAAGATCACGCTTGGTGGCTAGTTATCTCCTTGCGGTCTGCTAGCTTCCCATTTAATATTCTGCCCTGAAACCTTTGTCTCCCCAGAATCAAAGCCAGGGGGGGGGGCGGGGGGCGGGCGAGGGGGGGGGCTCCTACGTGGGGGTTGGGCAGTGCTGGAGGCTTCCGTCTTATTGCCCAGGAAGGAGCTTGCAAACTGCATAGAATGTTTGCCTTGACAATTATCGTGCCGGGCCAGAACTCCCAGATTCTACTGCCAAAGTTTAGCCACACAACGAAAGTTGCAATGACATGATTGGTTTACAACAAAGGAACAAAGCTTCTCACTCATCCAAAAAAGCTGGACAGGTGGTCCTTGACTTAGGATCACAACTGAGCCCAAAATTCCTGTTCTTAGGTGAGACATTTGTTAAGGAAGTTTTTCCCCACTTTACAACCTTTCTTGCCATAGTTGCTAAGTGAATCACTGCAGTTGGTAAATTAGTAACCCGGTTGTTAAGTGAATCTGGCTTCTCCATCTACAGCTATTCATCCAATACAGAAATTCCTGTGTTGTTGTGTTGCTAATCTTTGGCACTATAATCTGGGGGTTCTGGTCCAGCACAATACCAACGTCTAGGTCCTCTAACCACTGAAGCGCAGGATCGTTCCTATGAAAGAAACCGGTAGATGCCCTCAGCTTACAGCCGGTCATGATGTGATGTGGGCCCCTGCAGTCACCCTGAGGGGAGGATACGCTGCCCCATTTATGCAGGGAGTCCCAGCAGACGTTGTGTGAGCTGTGAATTCAGGATTGTCCATTGTTGACATGGTTCCATTCAAAGTTCAAAATCTGGCACCTTTTTTGTAGGGTCATTTGTATATATTTCTATGTCTGGCCGTTCAGCAGCCCATTTGGCTTTCCATTGGGAATCGATGTTGAAGGTGTCGGGCAGATGTTGTGCAAGGCCAGTGGTGGCTTTCTTGCCCTCAAATAAGTGTTGACTCTTAGCTGCTCCTTGGGTAGACCTTGTGCAAGGTGATCTCTCTCCAGCAGTGCCCCCATCCATGCTGTAATTGAGTCTGTCTCTCCTGCTGCTGGTCGTCCTGTCCTTGTAAGGACCTGCCCAGCTATCATCTCAGGAAAGCAGGAAAAGCATGAAGACTCTTGAAACAGACCTTGGCCTTTCAAAGGGAACTTTTACTGAGAGAAGGGATGGCAGAGAAGTCAGGTGGAGCCTGAAGATTCCAGTGCAAAGCCTTAAGCTAATTTCCCCCGTTCAATTGCAAAGAGGCAGGGTAAATCAGTGAGTATGTGCTTTGCCTCTGAAGGCAAATGGGAATAATTAAACTCTTAGCGTTGAAAGCTGTTTCCTATTACAGAAACATCATCAAATGGGACAGAAAATTCCAGTGAAGGAGCTGATAACAGCAGCCTGGTACTGAGCACTCCTGGCGGCTCTGGGGGAAAAGACCCCGCAGCTGTGACTATGCAACCAGAACTCCCACCCTTTCCATCCAGGGGGATTCTGGAAACAGACTCCCTGTCCATGGAGAGCGTGAACTGGGAGATGCTTCGGAGTGGGGCTGCCTGCCTGCCAGGTAAAGCCTCCGGAGGTTGTTGCTGCCTTTATGATTTGTGAAGAATGCAGCGGTCAGGGAAGAGTCATTTGTGAACCTGAGAAACGCTTTTCACTTTCTCACTGGGAATTGGGCCTTTGCGCATAGGCCCCCACTCCCCAAAGAGGCTGAGGGGTCTCCCTTCCTTGGACAGCCACAGTTGCAGAGGAACAGTGGGCAACCGGGGGCCTAAGCAAGAGCAGGAGGAGCTGGAGTTTGTGGCAGTCCTTGCAGAGTGAAGGGGTGGACCTGAGGCGCTTTAAGAGAACCAGCCTGAGTTGCCAGCTGGGGGGTGGGGGACATAAGCCATTCTCCCCAAAAGAGTTTATGGCGCTCGGCAGTCAGACTCCCAGCGGGGCTCAGGAAGATCTGCCACCAAAGAAAACAAATGCTATTCTAGGTGGGCCCCTCAAGAGTCCAGTTCTGTGTGGATCTGAGTTTGTGTTTCTCCTAATCGTCCTCAACTTCTACCATCCTGTTATTTAAAATATTTTGCCATGTTTGCATTTATTCATTCATGAGATAGGTTGAAAAAGCCATTTCTCTGTTTATTAGAGAGCAATAAATGGCCACTTCAAGGGGGCCTTGGTTGGGGTTTTTCGCCTAATTAATTAGACAAATTAAACGGAGCCTCTTTCTCAGGTACCAGAGACAGATACGGCCGGGCCGTGGTCATCATCACAATGAGAAACACAATTTGGTTGTGCCCGAACTGCAATGCCAGTGAAATAACACGCCTTCTCCTGTATTTACGCAGCATTCTCAGGTTTGTGGGAAAAGGCAAGGAAGACGCGGTCAGCAAGTGTTCTGTGCACTGAATACTTTTAATTGTTCTGTCAGTTCTGAGCTTCATAATGGTAGATTTCTAGCCAGGGGAGAAACACGGATGTGGCTCTTAGCTGACTTGGGTACTTCCATGTCCTCTGGGAATCCCAGATACAGCAGCTTAGATATGCCACTTTAATTTCTCACTGTTCTCTGACCTCCTCGAGGAGTATTTTGAATAGCTATATAGAGCCTCCTCTCTGTCTCCTATTCCCTTTCATCCTCAGGCCGGAGCGCAAAGCCTTGGGCCTGACAATCCTGGTAGATGCCCGAGGATCCTCCCCAGTCCCAGCTGTCTTCACAGCCTTAGGCACTTTGCAGGTGAGACTTCCTTCCGCTGAATGCTGCTCTCCAATTGTTGGGTGCCCACTGGGCACACAGAGCCATGGTTTGCCTTTCCCAGTTCTTTGCCAGCGTTCCATCCCGCCAAATCTGGATGCCCTGAAAGTGCCAGAAACATTTGGGTAAGAAACCGCTCACAGGTGAAGGACTTGGCCTTAGGACAAGTACTCCCATTGGCCTCTTCCTCCCTTCTTAACAGAGGAAGGCAGAGAACATTCCTGCCCATCCTTATTTAGCTGGATATCAAAGAAAACTTTTGACTGGAGCAGGAGCCGTAGAGAAATGTGTTTTATTGTTGCAGGAGATCATCCCCCACTGCATCCAGAGAGCCCTGCTGTTTGTGGAGAGAGACCACACCTTCCAGACAGAAGGGCCGCCAGCTGCTGCTGTGCAGGTGCGAGGAGGTTCGGACTTCAGGAATCCTCGCCCACCATTTCAAAGGGCCCGGAGCCTGGTCTGGTTCTGTATTCCAAAGCATGAGTTTGTAAAGGATGGGGAAGGGGTAGAGCAGCCCCAGAGCAATCCTGCTGCCGCACCTGTAGGCGTTTGTGGCCCATATAAACCTGCTAAATATGCAGGCAGCCATTCCAGCCCAGAGGAGGTCTGTTCCCGGTTTGCCTTTCCCCCTCTCTCCCTTTTCCTGTCAACGTGCGCAAAGTCTCCGTTTTTCTGGCCAAGGGGTTCGTGCTGCTGGAATCAGAAAACAAGAGGCTGTATAGCAACTAACGCTGGACATCTAGAGCATGACCTACACGTGCTTGTACTGGGGCTCAATGTGTCCAGATTGCTGGTCAGCATGTGGGGGCGGAGCTGTTATCTGCCACTCAGAGGGTGAGGCTGAGTCATTTCTTGTACCAGGCTGATGATAGTTATTCACGCCTTGCTATGTTCTGTTTTGAGGCTGAAACGGGGAGTTCAGTTGGTGCAAAACTGCTAACTGAACGAAGCCGAGTACAGGGATCGTAGGAGAAAGATCTGCCCTGGCTGCCAGTGGTTTGCCAGACATGATTTAACATTAAAAGGCATTAATAATTAAAGCCACTAAACACCATATCATATATATTCACAGATAAGCCCATCCTCAGATAAACTAATAAATTTTGAACCAAAATACTATGAAAAATGCACCAGAGGCAGACTATCCGTCTGATTCTCGAAACCTTTGTATATATTATTTTTCAGAATTGGCTTATGCATTGATGTCTTCAGACTTAACCTTGTGCATCCTTTGTGCAGGAAGAATTAACCATCTTGACACAAATTGGGTGTTGGGTTCTGAATTCTGGTGGTTGGCGATGCAAAACCATCATTGGGAATGTAGTTTAGCAATAGCACTTTGACTTTACAGCCTTCTCTTAAGTGGTTTGCAGAGTCGGCCTCTTGCCCCCAACCATCTGGGTCCTCGTTTTACCGACCTGGGAAGGATGGCAGGCTGAGTCAACCTTGATTCGAACTGCCAAATTTCAGGCAGTCAGCAGAAGTATCCTGCAGTCATGCATTCTAACCACTGTGCCATCATGGTTTGGGGAATTTCTTGGGATACAATACATTTGATTATTCTGGATCATAAAACATCTATTACCAGAAATTAGCCTAGTGTTAAAAAAATTAGAATTCAGTTGAAGGACCACTTCCTTGGATAGCATGGAAGGGTGGGAGTCAGTAGTTTTCCTTCGCCTAAGTCAGTGGGACGGTAACCTCCCAACAAGGCTCTAGGCTGTCTTTTATATCTCCTTGTCCCCTTCCAAACTCTGCCACCATCTCCTGAATACTACTGAATAACAGCACGCTGAGCTGGCCACACGCAGTTGTCCTAGACCCAGGCAGCTGCCAGGAGTCAATTCTGACTTTAAGATACCACAGTTCATTAACACATTGCTGGGCTCACCTGTCCCTCCTCTGTGTACAGGTAGCCCTTGAGTTCGGAATGTAATGGAGCCGGCCAGTTACGTTCATTAATTGAAACTTGTTAAATGAATGAGCCCCAGTCCACCTCTCCCCAGTGCACTTGTTAATCGAACGTGTGGGTTGTTAAGAGCGCATGAGGTGGCTCAGGAGTGGGGAGGACCATGGGAGGCCTAGTGCAGGGACAGGACCACTGTGTCCAGCCTGCCCCCACCCATTGAGAGACCCCATGCTCCTCTTCCCACTCTTTGGGTCTCAAGCTGCTTGGGCCTTTCCTCCCCACTGCACCCCCAACAGCTAGTTTACCTTTGGCGCCACGTTTGACAGTCCCGCGCTTCCCAGGCTCGCCTCCTGCACAGCCTTGGGTGCTGGAGACCCTGCCCAGCCAGGCAGAGAAGTGCCAGGCCAGCCTCTCCCCTTCCCCACTTAGCCCCAGTCTCTCCCACAAGCCCTGCCTTGCCGTTTGCTGCAGTGCCAAACCTGCCCAGAGTCCACAAATTGCACCACCACCGAACTCGAGAGCTTGGCACGCCACCGCCTTCTCCTCTCGCTTGCCAAAAGCACTGGCTGCTGCTGTTGAATGCTGGGGGGGGGGGGGGGGGGGGGGGGGGGGGGGGGAGCAATAGAGGAGGAGGCCGACCCGGGACGGGGCTTACTCCAGAGAGGGAGGGGGGGGGTTCCACTCTTGGAAATGTGTCCAGCAGCCAAAATCCCAGAGCAGGAGAAGTGGGGTGGCAGTGGACATCCAAGAGTCTGATCCAATTATCTGGGAACAGTGTGACCCTCTAGGGATCCACCTCAGGGAGTGGACAGGTCCTTGAGGCTGTCAGTGCCACCACCAGTCACTTAGATCCTTGTCCCTCCTGGATGGTAAAAGTTGCAGGATGGGGACCGAAGAAAGCTGGACGGGTTATATGGATTGGAGGTTCGCGTGTGCCAGTTTTCAGTCTTCTGGTGTGACGTGAAGATGCCTCTCTTTTCTCTTTCACAGTGTGAACTGCTCAATTCCTTGAAGTCCCTCCATAAACATATTGAGAGCCATCAGCTGCCTCAAGAATTCAGCGGATCGCTTCCCTATTGCCACCAGAAGTGGCTGCACTTCCAAATGGTGAGGCAGGCACGAAAACTTTGAGTAATCCAGAATTCCAGCAGATCTATAGTTCTATAAAAAAAGGATTCTCTCTCTTGTGGATTTTCTGAATTTTTGCATATTTTGCCACTGAATATTACGAGAACCTGGGTTGAATGGATAACATACTGATACACATAGCGGGGAAGCTCCTTTGGGTTCGTGGATGGACACGGAGGTGGCTCTCCAGTCCCAGTCTGAAAGCACAGTCTAGCCCGGGGTGGGTGGGTGGGCGCACCGGAAGGCCAGGGTTTTTTAGGTAACTCTGAGTGTTGTCCTGTGACGCCACTTATGATGTGCTCTCAGTTTCTGGCGGTAAACCTTGTCTTCAAAGCCAATGCAGGTGGCTCCCACTGGGCAGGTCCTAGGGGCGTGGTATGCTGCCGGAAAATGGAAGTTACAAAATCATCTCCAAAACTCCAGGATTCCACCAATCCAAAGTTAGAGTCAAATTGGGTCCATGGTGAACCTTCTCCAATGGCTGCCTGTCCAAAGCAATCTGAGAGGCCCTCCGGGGGGATCCTTAGAACAACTGTTGCGGTTCTTAAGCCTCTCCTGCCATGGGTGCAAATGGGATTCAGGGGAGAAGAGCCAGGCAGACGAAGCCCCGCTCGTCAAGAAGGGCGGGCCTCCTGTTTTCCAGACGGCCCCTGGATGCCCTTCCATGCTTTGGGAGGAAGACTCTGTGGCCAGATGAGCAGGACATCTCAGGCTGCATCTCAGGCCTGGCAGAGACCAAGGCCTGCGTTCCAGAAGTTAAGCCGCCTCCTGTCAGGCACCAAGGATGGAGATGGTAATTGCCATTATTAAAGGAAGCGTAAAGCTCTCATCTGAATGAGAGAATTCTTGGGAGAACTGGAAGACCAAAAACAAAACCAGCAAGATCTACAAAAGAACAAATTCCAAGATTTGGACTGAATAAGGCAAAATTCAGATGCAAAGACCACAAAAACGGGCTGGCATAACCTGGAATAAGCCATTCCCTCCCCTCCCCATTCCTCTGGATCAGTTTTCCAGGGAAGAATGGGCAGGATTCCTGCACAGTGGAGCTCGGGAGAGGCTGATCTCCAGGTGCCAGAACGGTTGGCTGCCAGGATTGCAGCTAAAAGGAGGGCTGGGGTCTGTTATTGAATTTAAGGCGTTGCAGCAGGTGCCTAGTAACACTTTTTCCAACTAACCCATTTTATTCAAGAGCCTCATCTGATGAAGGGAGCTGCAGCTCACAAAACATCCATCTTTTCATACAATTTGTTAATTGGAAAAGGTTCCTCTTGAATCTGCTTTTTTATACTGACACATAGAATAGAAATATAATGGAATGGAATGGAATGGAATGGAATGGAATGGAATGGAATGGAATGGAATGGAATAGAATAGAATAGAATAGAATAGAATAGAATAGAATAGAATACTTTATTGGCCAAGTGTGATTGGACACACGAGGAATTTGTCTTTGGTGCAAATGCTCTCAGTATACATAAAAGAAAATATAACATTCATTAAGAATCAAGAATCATAACGTACAACACTTAATGAAAGTCATAGGGTACAACCAACAATCAAATCATACCAGGAAACAGTCCTTATAAATCGTAAGGACACAAGCGACCAAGTTTGCCGTGACATGATGGATGACTAAATGGTACTGGCAGTGGGCTGGCTGCAAGTGTCCCCGCCCCGACCCCAGCATTTCCCCCTTGGGAGGAAGTCACCTGGGCTCTGGGATGGGGGGAGGGGTCAGATGACTCCCTTTATACATTGGTAGGACTGACTGACGTGAAGTTCTGCTAATATTCATGCCAATATAAGCAAACATTCAGAAAATGTGGTCCTGGCTATACCTGTTCAGAACATTGGTTTCCAGGTGTTCAGGGAGGGAGGTTTGAGAAGAAAAAACGTTCTCTTCCATTTGGGGCAATGGATTAAGCCAGGGGTTCCAGAGGGCCACAGGAGTGGCGGGTCGGATTGCGCTGCTGGGGAAGGCTCCTGGGCCTGGGCAGCTCCCCTGGGAAGGCAGGCTTTCCTGCCCAAGCAGAGTAACGGCAAGGCCTTTTCCTGGAAGAGAAAATAGGGCCTCCCCCCCCCCCCCCCCCCCTAGCGGGATCTTGGCTTGGGTTCGGGAGCTGCACCCGGCGGATGGCCTGTTAACCCACGGGGGTTGCCCTTGTGCTGACCTTGCAGCGTCTGGAGCACTTGCTTTCTGGGTGCCAAGAGGCTCGTCTGTTCCTCAAAGAGACAGTGGAAGCCGTGGAGTCCAGCAGATGGCCGGAGAAACCCCAGGTGAGTCTCTGGCTCCACTCTGGTAAGAAGCCAAGGCTCCCTGGGCCGAGGGCCTGCGGCCATGTGGCAAAACGTTTTTTAACAAACCTCCTGCAACCCTGGGGGTGGGTGCAAAGGCCCTTGGAGGCCATGAAGGCTCCTGGCCTTGGCTCGCTGCCCTCCCTCGGGTCAGAAGGCCGGTCATTGCCTCCACCCCAGAGCCTTAAGCCCGGTCTTTCCTTGGCTCTAGGACGCCGGGGCCCTGCTGAAGAGTTCCAGGCAAAGGATGACAATGGTTCTGGACGACCGAAGGCTGGCCAGGCTACGGTTGGAGGGGGGCGCTCTCCTGGCCAGCCTCAAGAAGGAGGAATCCTGCCTGATGCTGCCCGAGGACTGCAGGTGAGCCTCCGCTCTGGGACTAGGGAGCCGAAAGGGCAGGAAGCGAAGAGGCCTCGGCCGTGCAGGGCCAGGCCTCCCTGCCAGTCTTCTCTGCGAGGGTCTCATTCGCTCTCGCCCCACAGCTTCCCCAGTCTTCCTTTGAGTCCTCTCTTCGTCCACTCCTGTGGCTGCCCATCTCAAACAAGGGGCTGTGGACAGCAAATGATCGTAACATACATTAGAAAAAGCAAAGACAAGCACAGTATAAAGAAATGAAAATAGATAGGGCAGCCAAGAAAATATTACAATCTACAGTTGCTGCTATAACAGAGTAGAGTAGAATAGAATAAGGAATAGAGTAGAATAGAATAAGGAATAGAGTAGAATAGAATAAGGAATAGAATAGAATAGAATAGAATAGAATAGAATAGAATAGAATAGAATAGAATAGAATAGAATAGAAATTGAATTGAATAGAATAGAAATTGAATTGAATTCTTTATTGGCCAAGTGTGATTGGACACAAGGAATTTGTCTTGGTGCAAATGCTCTCAGTGTACATGAAAAGATACATTCGTCATGAGTCAAGAATCATAAGATACAACACTTAATAATAGTCACAGGGTATAATAAGCAAACAAATCATACTAGGAAACAGTCAATATAGATTGTAAGGATACAAGCAACAAAGTTACAGTCATACAGTCACAAGTGGGAGGGGATGGGTGATGAGTGGTGAGAAGGTTAATAGTAATATTGGTGCAGACTTTGTAAATAGTTGAACAGTGTTGAGGGAATTATTTGTTTAGCAGAGTGATGGCGTTCAGGAAAAACTGTTCTTGTGTCTAGTTGTTCTGGTGTGCAGGGCTCTATAGCGTCGTTTTGAGGGTAGGAGTTGAAGCAGTTTATGTCCAGGATGTGAGGGGCCTGTAGATATTTTCCCAGTCCTCTTTTTGACTCGTGCAGCATGCAGGTCCTCAATGGAAGGCAGGTGGGTAGTAATTGTTTTTTCTGCAGTCGTAATTACTCTCTGAAGTCTGTGTCTGTCCTGTTGGATTGCAGAACCAAACCAGACAGTTATAAGTAGGAGACGGGGCCCTTCACCCACTCAGGGCCCTCGGCCTGGGCAAACAGGCAGGTCTTCCAGACAAGCCCTCGTGTGTCCTCTGCCTTTTCTGACTCTCTTGCAGACTCAGCCACCAACGCTGTCATGGTCTTCCCCAATTCTTTAAAAGTCAGTTGTAAAATCTCTTGACATGCAGGGAGTCCTTGACTCATGACGGCCCTGGGGCTGGCCCATTACAGTTGTAAGTCGTGGTGACTGTAAAGCAGGTCACCACATGACTGCACCCAATTTTATGGCCATTTTGTGGCAGTCATTAAGGGAATGCCACAGTCCGTAAACAAACCTCCGTAGTTCGCTTCTTCCAGTTTTTGCCGAACACTGGAAATAAGCTGGGAACTGTGGTCCTGTGATCATGGGACAAGGACCAATGACAGCACAGGCTGGTTGCCAAGCGCCTGAAGTGCGGTCCTCCCACGACCTGCGGGTGGGGCGGCCATCGGAACTTCAGAACTGGCCTCTGTGGCTTTGGAAGGTTTCATCGGAATTTTAGTTTAGTTTACTTTATTGTCATTGCACCTTGTACAATCAAATTAAATGCCATCTTCAGTGTATATTATAACTATAAAAATAAAACACAAACACACATACTTCCCATTCTATACAATTGAATTGAAAATTGAATTGATATTAATATTGTACTCTACAGTAGAATTCAATAGAGCTACTGCCCTGGGATATAAGCTGTTTTTCAGCCTATTTGTCCTTGTTTTTATTATCTTGTACCATCTGCCAGATGGTAATAGTTCAAAAAAAAGGGTTCCCAGGATGAGATGGATCTTTGAGAATGTTTTGAACTTTCTTAAGGCAGCGGGAGCTATAAAGCTCTTCCAAAGAGGGGAGAGGGCAACCCAAGATCCTCTGGGCAATGACGTTCACCCTCTGGAGTGCTGTCCTATCTGCCCCTGTGCAATTGGCAAACCATACAGGGGTGCAGTATGTTAAAATGATCTCTATGGTGCAGCGGTAGAAGGTCACCAGCAGTTTTTCATTCAGTTGTTGTTTTCTGAGAAGTCTCAGGTAGTATAATCTCTGCTGGGCCCTTTTGACCAGGGCTGCAGTGTGGGCCCCCCAGGTCAGGTCCTCTTTTAGGGTGACACCCAGAAACTTAAAACTGGCCACTTGCTCCCCTCGGTCTCCATGGATAAGCAAGGGCTGGAGGTCTGATCTGTTCCTTCTATAATCCACTATAAACTCCTTGGTCTTATTGGTGTTTAGGGCCAAGTTGTTGTCTTCACACCACGAAAGCAAGTGGTCCACCTCATCTCAATAAGAAGACACATCCCCCCCCCCCCCGGAGATAAGTCCCACCACTGTTGTATCATCTGCAAATGTAATAGTAGTGTTACTGGTGTAAGTGGGTGAATGGCTGCTGAGCGACTGGTTATAAGTCAAGGACTGAAATCCCTTTCTCTGTCACAGGTAGTCCTTGATTAAGACAACAGCTGAGTCCCAAACGTCTGTTGCTAAGTTGTTGAGTTGGGCCCCATTTCACAAGTCTTGCCATAATCAATCTCAGGATCACGGTTGTTAAATGAATCTGGCTTGTCAGAAGATCACAAAAGGCCATCCCATGACCTGGTGCACTGCAACCGTCGTAAATTTGAACCAGTTACTAAGCACCCGAGTTTTGGTCATGTGACTATGGGATGCTGCAACAGTTGTAAGAAACAGTCACAAGTGCCATTGCAACTTCCAGTGTTCACTGAAGGAACATGGCCGTAAGGACTCCCTGTATTTGCCCTGTGAAGAGTCCTCTCGTAGCTTCTGCTTTCCTATTTCTCTTCTTCCATTTGTAATCCAAAAAAGGAGAAAAGTAAAAGGAGACTTTTTTTCTTTGTATCCTTAATTCTAGTTCTAGGGTCACATGGTTTTTTGCAAGTTCCCCTATTTCTTTAATGAAACCAACCAATCCTTTTTAGAAAGTTTAAACAGTCCTCATCCCTATGTAGGTATGTATGTAGGTATGTATTTATTTATTTAATAGTACTTTAAACTAGGAAACACTCTTCTAAATGTAACTGCCCACTTAATCTGTTTTAAAGCTCCTTAATGCAGATTTTTGGCAAACTGTTTTGCTTTTATTTATTTTTAAACCTTTATAATTCTTTACTTTTTACTTTAATCCAAGTCCAAGTCAATAGTTGGCTTAGTTGCTCTGCTGCTCGGGAGATCTCTTTGTACATTATTGTAATCCAGAAGTGGACTTTGGGGGCGACCCTGGGATTCTTAAGCAGGCTCCTCTTGAGCTATCAACCAGCTACTTCTTCCGCTGCTCGCCTACTTCTTCAGTGCTCTCCCCTGCATTGAACACCTGCAGGTTTCCTCTGGATTTTCTTCTGGGGAGCTGCCCAAGTGGCTTCTCCTTACCCAGAGTCTCCCCACTGTCCCTGGCTCCCGACCCAGCTGCCAGTCTCTACCTGGGCATCATCTCTGCTCTTTGGCGATCGGATAATCCTTCATTTTCTCCCCCTGGAAGTCCTAGTCCTGGGATATTCCCATCTAATAGTTAAGCTGCCTTCGACCAAAAGTGAGATTCTCCCTGGGAATCTTGTAATAAAATGCATTTAAAACAATAGGATATGGAGATCTCAGCAACCAGATAGTGCTCACTTTTAGAATCCAGGCTTTTTTCATCTTTTACTAAAGTTGCAAGCTAGATTCATCAGGAACCTGTGTGATCTTCCACTCACAGAATTTTACTCCCAGTTGATATCAGAGTTGTTAAAGTTTATTGCCATGTGCTTCCTACACGCCTTAGCTAACTGATTAGCAAAAAGTAAACCAAGTAAGCTTGCAGGGATGCAACTCAGGGAATCCTAAAGCCTTTGGATGGGTTTTGACTCACTGCAATTCTCCATAGCATCTCCAAATTGTGTTCTGTCTACAAACAGCCATCTTAAGTGTACTCTGCTCTTCAGAAGCCATTTTATGAAGTGTCTGGTGCGTTCAGAGGATTTCCTTCTGATGGGTATGGTGGGGCATATGACTTGGATCGTGAGATTCAGGGTTGCAATAGGAATGTTCCAATAAAACACAGGCCACTGTCATCCATTAGCAAAGAAAGACTCCTGGCTGTAAGAGTATACTTGACTGAGAACAAAGTGGAGGCAGAATCTGTTGGTGTCAGGGCTGCCTCTGATCTATTCCTAGGAAAGAAACCCTTGACCCCATAGATTCAGCGAAGAGATACTTTTACTAAGAACGAAATGAGTGCAGCAAAAGTCAGGCAAGGTCTGAGTCCAAGCCTCCCCATCGGTTCTCAGCAATTCCACCCCACCTGCACGCTTCCCCTCCCAAATGCCCATTGCTCCCCCCTCCCCATTTCCAGGCAGCTGGCAGCAAGCGTGGAGGAAAGCGATGAGACCAAGCTGACAGTTGGCTGGCTTGGTGTGAAAACAATGCAGTTAACTTTCCCCTTTCCCCTGGCCATCTCCGTTACCAGTCAATGCCAATTAAAAGTTCTCCGGTTGTTTTGGAAAGGGACCCTGTGTTCCCGCCTCCCCCTTCTTTGCATTCCTTTTGCTGACTTTGTCCTTGATTGGTGCTCCTCATGGTCAGGGCTGACGCTCTTGCTTCAATCCCCTAGCCCACCTTCCAATCTCCCCCTCCTGCCGTTGGTAAGGTCAGGATGCTGGCAGGATGCCATGTGAAGCAAGCAGCAGAATGGCAGCCACATTCTTTCTCTCTGAAACTTTCATGTGGTCCTTGCCAGCTGGGATCATTTTGGTCTTGCTCAGGAAGGAGACTGCCTGGAATACTTCATGGATTTGTTCCATCTGAAACAAATTTTAGCCATAGACTAAATAATGCTCGAATATATATTGGACTTGCCAGTATTAATTTTTTGATGTGTCTCACTAAGTTGCAGCGTTAAAGATATACCTGTTCTGTCTTTCTTTTTATCACACTTCCCAAGAGTGACCTGATCTGCCTGGCTTGCCTGCCATAGCAAGCCCACCACTGATAGTGGGCGCCACCTGGAAGTTGATTTCTCAGATCCTGCCGTGGTTGGTGGTCTTCTCACAGCTTTGTGATCCAGCCATGATGTCAACAGCCAGGTCTCCCCCCCCTCCCAATAATTTTTTTATTTTTATATTTTTAAAAAACATCATATTGTAAAACAAGATATGAGAATATTTAAAGAAAAATGAAATAAGTTATGATATGAATTGGAATTGGATAAAATAAGTATAATGAATATAAAAATATTTGAGAATACTTAAAGGAAATTGGAATAAGTAATAATATGATATGAAATTGAACACGAAAGATGAATATGTAACTGTGGTCATGTTTGTATTGAAATGTAAAAACCTGGAACCACATTGTTCACCAAAAGAGATATTTTTTAAAATATAAAAATAAATAAATAATTAAAAAAATAATAATCTCAATGACCTTTGGGAAGGTAGGAATTGAGAATATAGAAACAGTGCTTCCTTCTTCACCTAGACCAGTTCCCAGGCAGCTTCAGAGCAACTTCGAACAGGTAGTGACCCCTAGTCAACCCTTCCACCTGGCCATTTGCCACGGCCTGTTCTCCCCTTCCCCTGGTTTACCTGACTTCCGGGCTATTTTAATAGTAATGTGACATGGGGATTCTCCACAAGGGTTTCTGGCATCCAAATAGCCCTGACAGGTTGGGTTGGAACTTCATTGATCAACCGCCTTTGCTTTTCTCTCAGAGATGCCATGAAAGTGGCTGGCACTCTTTACAACGAAGTGGACGAAGGAATGCACCAGCTGGTGCTGGTTTCTAACAGGCGCATCCAAGCCCTGGAATGGCTGGTGGAATTTGAAGCTGTGGAGCGATGCTTTCAAGAGGTCAGTGCCAGGTGTTTTGCAGGGTTATCAGACGGGCACCTTAGGGCTGTCAGGGGCTGCTCTGAATTTGGGGGAGTGACGAATAAGTCACATTTTTAATGGACTTTCTTCTGACCTCCAGGGTCCCTTCCAACTCTGTTATTCTTATAATGTGGGACTGTTATTATTGGGCAACTCCAAGAAATAATTGTGAATTTGCAGTGACAAAAACAATATGAAAATAAATCTCTGCCCCCATCATTAATAATCACAGTGGCATTCATGGGCTGAGCTGCCCTAGGGAACCCTAATAGCAACTCCGGTTGGTTGCTGGATGGTTTTAGGGGAATGTCCAGAGAGTGGACCTGCTGCCTGGGTACTCTAAGGCCAGGTGGATGATCAGATGAACATTATTGACGTCCTTGTTGAATATTGCAAAGTCCCAGGCCTGAGGTTGGTGTTTTAGTGGAGCTACTGTCATGGTTTTTGACTTGTAGCTGTTTTAGTCTGGGGTATTGTCCTTTGTTGTTATGTTTTTAATTGTTTTAAACTTCACTGAATGTGTAAACTGTCCTCTTTTGCAGTGGAGTGTCTATAAATCATCATCCCCATGGCCGTCCTCATCCTTCAGACTGTGCCACTGAAAAGGTCCTGACCTATATTCCTGGACCTAGCAGTCTTGGGCAATTTTAGCCAACTAAAAAGTTGTCTTTCCTTTTTAGGAAAGGTTGTTGAGAAAACAGTTGGACTTCAAAAGAGGAAATGAATAATCTCAAGCATTTTTAGGTTTCAGCCTGGATATAATACTAAGGGAGTGTTGACCATGCTTGGGGGTAGCCTCTTGATGGGGGTGATGCAACGGTCCCGGTTCTTCTTGATCTTCATGAGAACTGCAAGGGTGGAGGAGAGGAGAAACTGTCTTGAGATGTTTTCTCAAACTACCTTTTTGGAATAACAACTATAATAAATTAGCCATTAGGCCACATCAGAATACAAAATGCAGAACAATAATAAACCATGTCATGTGGAATATTTGGGTTCTGACCCCTTGTTGCTTTAATGTATGTGATCCAAGATGTTCCCTGTCTTGCAGTTGACTCTCCAAGAACGTATAGGTGCTCCATGCTGATTTCTTGGACGGATTCAGGCTCTGCTTGCCTGACCGTGGCCTTGACGGTGGTGGCTCTTTCCCTGGGCTTCACGGCCATCACCGAGCAATTAACAGCCCACAGCTTGAGCCAGAGGGGCCCATTCTTGCCATTAATCTACTTTTGCCTCCTTTTCTCAGATCTGTAGCTGGATCAAGAATGTTGGCGAAAAGCGCCTCTTGGAGCTGAACACCCTGGACCATCCTTCTCTGGACGGGCTGCTTCAAGCCAAAAGGCAGTTCCAGGATTTGGCACTTTTGGCAGATGTGAGTTCTACAGTCCATGCCTTCTCCCTCCCTCTTGTATATTGTTCCCTACATTAAGTGTAACAATAGGTGATATAATACAACAGGACATTAAAATGGTATAAAGCTGTGGAATAAAAATAATGTTCATGAAAAAGGAGGGAGGGAGGGAGGGAGGGAAAGTTCCTGTTGGGAAGGCTGAGTTCAGCAGGTGCCTTCAAGTGCTTCTTCTAGGTGCCTCCCAACTTTCCTGGGGGAGCGTTGCAGAGCCCCCCCCCCCCCCCGCCAGCAGAGGCATCCTGTGAGTCCCTGGGGTCTGTAACGGGGTCCCATTGTTGAGCTCAGCGACAGGGATCCTGGTCGTAGCTTCTTTAGGGTCTTTGGGACTTCCGAACCAAACCTTGAGCCTGGCTGGAGAGCTGACTGGGGGCCACAGCAGAGGGGAACCCTCTTTCCTGCCCCCTGCCTGCCGCATTGGGCACTTTGGGACCGAACTCATGACAGTCATCTAGAAACAGGATCCACCACATGGGAACATCTGCAGCGAGGCTGTTCCTGTCCAGTCATAGTTGGCAGCTCACCCGTAGATATTCTGTCCACAGAGGAGACTTGGGACCCCGAGAGACAATGCCAACCGTGGAGCCATTCTTCCCACCTGACTGTGAAGCCCACGTCTTGTCAGGATTCAGTCTGTTAAGTGGCCCTTATCCCTTACAACCAATTCAGATGTCACAGAGACAGAGAGCTGAGGGTCGTCTGCCTGTTAGTGATGTCCAGAACTTACCAAGACTGAGCTCAGTGGTTTCCTGTAGATGTTAACTGACCTTGGAGCCAGACATGGGCCTTATCCCATCTACAGCACAGCTGCAGGGTGTAGAGCGACAGTCACCCAACATGCTCCGTCACTAGAGGCTCTTAAGAAGAGACTGGACAACCATTTGACTGAAGTGGTATAGGGTCTCCTGCTTGAGAAGAAGGGGGTTGGACTAGAAGACCTCCAGGGTCCCTTCCTACGCTGTTATTCTGTATTCTCCAAGCTGCTCTGCCTTTAAGTGCTACTTGAAAAGGCATAGTGACAACTGGCCATCCCGAAAATCTCTGCTCCAGCAGAGAGAGAGAGACCGAAACTCACCCAGTCAGTTTTCATGGCTAAGGCAGGACTTGAATTCACCACCTCCTGCTTTCTAACCTAGACCAGACTGGCTCTCTTTTCCGACCCCCTCTGGATTTAGCCAACCTTGGCTGCCTGGAGGCCTTCTCGGGACCGACACCCGGAGCAGGGCAGAGGCTTTTGTCCGTGTGGAAGGTGGTGCTTGGCTAAGGAGCCCTGCTCTGCTCTGCTTTCAGGGGTATTGCCAGAGGGGACGGGAAGTGCTGAGGAGGTGGGACGGGGAGGAACATCCACTGGCCACGGGGCGCCAGGCAGGCTGCAGGGTCCAGCTGCAGGAGTACCAGAACCAGCTGCAGGGATTCTGCCGAGAGTTGGAGGCCGGCAGGAGCCGGGTGGAGCAGGCGGTTGAGCTCTACGGATTCTTGGAAGAGGTGGGTCCTCCTGAGGAGACGCAGCCGGGACGTTTCTCTGCCCGCTCTTTGCTACCCTCTCCTGGGGGCTGGAGGGGCTAGCCCACCCCTCTTGGCTGGTGAGGCCCTCCTGGCCCGGGCCAAACTCTTGAGCCCCGCGAGGAAAGTGTGGCATGGGCTGGAATCCTTGCCCCACCAGCAGCCGAAAGGGAGGGCTGTGGGGTGGGGGGCAAGAAGCCCGGCTGAGCTGGGAAGAGCCAAAAGCCCCTTGGCCACGAGAGTCTCTTCTTTAGGGTCCCTCCTGGGCCGCAAGCAAGCCTCCCTCCGTGATCCCAGGAGGGTCCAGGAAGCCCCCAGGAGAATCTGCTCCAGCTTGCCAGGCGTCTCCGAGCACTTTTTCCTTTCCTGTGAGCTTTTCTTTCTGTCCCTCCCTGCAGGCGTACAAGTGGGCAGAGGAGGGGATGCAGCTCCTTGCCAGCCTCAGTGGGGACAACTCTTCTGCTGCTGTGGGGTGTCTGCAGAGCTACCGGGAGCAGCACCCAGGCATGAGTGACAGCCAGTTCCAAAATATGAAGAGGCTGGCCTGTCTGCTGCCGAGCGGTGATCCTCTTGAGAAGTGGCAGCTCGTCTGGTCCAAGTGTCAAAGGACCAAGCAGGGCTTGGAGATGAGGCTGGAAGCTGCGCGGAGGATCCAGCCGCCGCCAGGCCCTCCTCTCCCAGCAGAGGAGGGAGAGCCCTGCTTGGCTCCTCTGGCCAAAGTCCCCAGTGTGGTGCCTCTACCTGAGAGGCCAGGTCTGCTTTCCAGGTGGCCCGGGGGCAACACGGGGGAGCCTTGCGATGGAGCTGGAGAGGGCCTGGTCCAGGCTGCTTGCAGCCACTCTTGCCAGCCGGCTGTTGACACTCCTAAGCCATCCTGCTGCCTCTCTGATGGGGGAGCCCCTCCCTCTGCCCAGCTCTTCTCCAGAAGGAAACTGAGGAAGGCCCAGAGTGTTGACCTCTCCAGCTCAGAGGGACCTTGGACTTGGGCTGGCCCCAGCCACTGTGGCAGCACCAGAGTCTGGATTAAAGGCTTGGAAGTCAGCAGCATGGAGCCAGTGGGTGGGCCCTGGCAAGGCCAACAGCCCCTCGGCTCCTCACCTGCCTCGCCTGCCTTCCGTCCACAAGAGGATCCGAGGCTGAGGGGCCTTGTGCCGGAGGCAAGGAGCTGGAGCAGGTGGGTTTGGACTGTGCTTCCCCAGTCATGGCACTTGGTCCCGGACCGGCTGTGGATGAAGCAGGAAGTTGGTCTCAGGGTCATCCCGACCGCAGAGCATGTTGGCCCTGCTTTCTCAGCCAGCCCCTGACTGAAGGTGGAGGAAGACTTGGAGCCCTTCATGCCAGAGTCTGTGAGGGACAGTTTTGGGGAAAGAACAAGGGTCCAGCATAGATGGGCAGGGCACCTGGCAGCTTTAACGGGGGGGGGGGGGGGGGGCCTCTGTGCCTCCTTCAAAGCAGTTCTGTTCTTTATTTGTATTGTATCGCTTGATGTCTGCCTCTCGCCAACGTCTCATGCCGTTCGTGGTATCCAAGGAGGTGAGCTTGTTCTTCCAGAGACAGCGGTTGGCCTCTTCCCTGGATTACCTTATCCACATCTTACCAAGCCCTGTTTCCTGAGAAATGCCAATGGCCCCCAAGAACAGAGGCTGCTGCCTCCGGTCGGTGGAATGGAATATGGCGGATGCGTCTTTCCCTTGTTCCTCCCGTAACAAAGGCCGGCTGGCTCTGGTATTTGACGTCGGCTGCCAGCTTTAAGGCTCTTCTCTCTTGACCCTCAGAGGTGTGGATGGCCACGCAAAGGTCGGATACAGCGAAAGGCCTCACACCCAAATGCACTCTTCTCCTTTTCCTGTATTTCAGCAAACCGGAGCGTATCATGGAGGAGATGGTGATGACCGAGCAGGAGTATGTGCGATCTTTGCGCTACATCCTTGGCAACTATTTCCCTGAAATGGAGCGGGCGGACCTGCCACAAGATCTGAGGGGAAAGCGAAGCGTCATTTTTGGGAATCTGGAGAAGATGTACAACTTCCACAGCCAGTATTTCCTGAGAGAACTGGAGCACTGCTGCAGCCATCCTCTGCGCGTCAGCCATTGCTTCCTGAGACATGTAAGGGGTGTGTGTGTGTGCACTTCCTGGGTGGAGCAGTGGCAGCGCAGTGGAGAGGAGAAAGTGGGCGGGCGGCTGCTCCAGATGGTCTAGTCCAGAGCAAATTTGCAGCATGGCAATAAAACTGATTCTGAGCCCAAAAGATTGGCTCTTCATAATGTCATTCTTGCCGCGGAATGAATGAATTTGCTAGAATGTTAATAGGTATTTGTAATAATTGACGTTTAACCCTCCCCACAGAAGTGTGTCTCTGTCAGGCCTATCGTAATAGTTACAGTGGTCTTGGAAGGGTTTTTGTCCGGTTGGAGACAGGTTGGAGCAAGTCAGTCATGCTGGTAGAATTAAAGAGGTCTCTTTTTGTCAATCCTTTCACGGGTAGCACAGAGTGAGAGTGAGAGTGGTTGACTTTTCCCCCTTACCTGAAAAGATGTCTTGGACCTGGAGGTGGAGAAAAGATCCTCGCTTAGTTTGGGTTTCTGTCCTTTCTCGTAGAAGGACCAGTTTGGGATGTATGCCTTGTACAGCAAAAACAAGCCCAAGTCCGACTCCTTGCTGGCCAGTCAGGGGAACGCTTTCTTCCGGGTAAGTTGGTCGGGCACCTCCCCGAGAGGACAAGGGCTGCCCTGCCCAAGGGTGCAGTGGGGGCCCCCCCTGAGTTCCGGGGCCCCTTCCTGCTGAGGCTGCTCTCTTGGCTGGCAGTTCAAGCAGATGCAGCTGGGAGATAAGATGGACCTGGCCTCCTACCTCCTGAAGCCCATCCAGCGCATGAGCAAGTATGCCCTGCTCCTCAAAGACCTCGTCAGGACGGGCGGGGAGGCCCAAGAGCAGGAGTTGGCGTACCTGCGGGCGGCGGAGCAGATGGTGCGCTTCCAGCTGCAGCATGGCAATGACCTCCTGGCCATGGATGCGATCCGCAACTGTGACGTATGTATTGACCCAGAAGCGGGGAAGCCAATGGGTGCCGGGCTTCGGTCTCCCCGAGTTCCCCCCTCCAGTCCCACGAAGGCCACCCCTCACTGGCATGTGGAATTGGGCTTGTGAGGAGCTCTGGGAAGGGGAAGAGGCTGGGTTTCACCTTGCTCGTCTTCAGGGGCATCTTTGGGGACCTGCCTTCTTCTGGGGGTCCCCAAGAACAATGGACTTCCTGGCTCCTCTGCCTAGGTGAACCTCAAAGAGCAGGGACAGCTGGTGCGCCAGGACGGGTTTAGCATTTCCCTGGGCCGAAGGAAGTACCAGCGCCACGTCTTCCTCTTTGAGGACCTGATCCTCTTCAGCAAGCCCAAGCGAGTTGAGGGCGCCCTGGATGTCTACCTCTACAAGCGTTCCTTTAAGGGAAGGACTTCTCCAGGGGGTCTGCCACAGTGGGTGCAGCTGGATGCGGCCGGTAGGGTGGGCTGCACAAGAGAGAGACGAGAGAAGGCGCTGTGGTCTCCAGCCCCTCGTGCTTGCCTCACACACTTTCTTGCCCCTGGGTGTGCAGGATCATGCCCCATGCCCAGCTTTTCTGCCATTTTCTAGATGGATCTTCACATTTTGTGGCCTTTGGAGGGAAAGATGTTCTACCTTCTCAAGTGGGCTGGAGCTGACTTTCTCAGAGCGCTTAGCGGCTCAGTGTCCAGCCTGCCAGGCCGGCTGAGGGGATCAAGGCAGGGGTTGCCTCACAGGCCACATGGCTTCCTGGTCCTAGACCCCAGTTCTGTTCCTCCTCCCCCATGGAAGTTGCCCCTTGGCCCCACAGGCCGCCTCAGCTGCATCATGCATGATGGGCTCTCCTCTTCATCCCGGCAGATGGCAGAAATTGGCCTAACGGAGAACTCGGGGGAGAGCGGCCTGTGCTTTGAGATCTGGTTCAGAAGGTGGAAATCCAGGGACACCTACGTCCTGCAAGCCAGCAGCCCAGAGGCCAAGCAGGCCTGGACAAGCGACATCACCAGGATCCTCTGGGAACAAGCTGCCCGCAACAAAGGCCAGTCCCCACACAGCTCCTCCACCTGCTTTCCGATAAGGAGGGGGGCTCGTGAGAAGAGTCCTAGGGAGCGGAGGGGGCTCCCCTAAGTAAGGTCCTGGGGGCAGGGGCTGGGTGGCCTGTGCCTTGGCCAGGGGAAAGCGGAGCTTCTCGTGCCAATAGGTCCCAAAAGGAGGGAGTCTGCCTCCAGGTTCTCCTCTTCCGTTGAAGGCACAAGTGCTGCCCTTGTCGTGTTTCGACACTCCCAGGACTGCCAGCAAAGCCTCTGCAGGCGGTTCTCTGACTTGTGGAAGTGCCTGGAACGGTTCTCACAGGAGGCGGTTCTGGGAAAGAGGACAAGACCAGGACCAGGAGGAGCGTGCAGGATGGGAGAGGCATCTAGTATTGAGCTGATCTGGGGGGGGGGGGGCAGTTTCTTCATGGGGAATAAACAGGAAACATTATATAGAAATATGATTTAGTGGCTGGACAAGTCCTCGGGTTCTGACCATTCAAAGCGACCATTCAAAGTTAGAACAGCACTGACCATTCCTTGGAGTTCTGGCTGCTCTCAGCGGCTTGCAGTTAGGAGGTCGCAGGGAGCGATGTGCTCTCCAACGTTCCCTGGCAGCTTTCCCCAGACGAAGGTAGCGAGGAGCCAGAAATTGCTCCTGCAGCTGCTTTTGCGCCCACCTGTGCTCCGTAACTCCCGTTTCTGGCCTGCCTCCCTTTCATGGGGAATGTGTTGCCCAAGCAAGGCGGGTGAGCTGGACTACATCCAGACTAGACTGCTAACGGTGCCTATAGACCCACCTGGAACTAAAACGAAAGAGGGCGGGGCCGTAGAGCGGAATGAAGATGGTCTGATTAGGTGAATGGCAGTTGATGAGATCCTACCTGGAAGGGAAGGTGTGATGATAAACGAAAGCGCCATTTGACTTATTTGTGCACCAGTTCACCCGACTTTCCTTTTGGATCTCTTTGGACTTGCTTCTCTGGAATCTTTGCCAAACTTTTGTGGTTGCCCTCAGCTAATTGCTTGGGGGTGTGGTGTGGGATTAACTTCTGCCCCCGGGGCTTGTTAACCTCAACCCGAGTCTCCTTTTCTCAAAAATCAGTCTTCATCCCATCGAGCCACCACCACCACCCCACCCCTGTCCTGAGCTCTGAAGCTTGATCAGACAAGGCATAGCTTTGCATTGGCTTTATTTTCTTTATTTTGCCTTTTTTTCTGGATATTGTATGTATATCAAGGAGAGACAGACATTAATTCCTCTGTGAAATTAACTGTTTTAGCCTGTTAATGATACAGGTGGCCTTCAGCAAAGTGCTGGCTCTATCCAGAGATGCTCTTGGCATCTGGCTAGTCATCTAATTGTTCTCCCGTTTCTTGGCTTAATTATCTCCATGCTGATAATAGTACTGCTTTTGATAATGCGGCTGTGTAGCTATCCAAAAGGGGTGTGTAGCTGTTGCTAAAATCCCCTAATTAAGGCCTGCCAAACTCCCAGGCCTTCTGCAACTGCCACCTTCTTTCTGGTGCGTTCAGATCATCTAGACGTATGCTCTTAGTTGACCAATGTTGTCCACGCCTCCTGCAGCCGTGGATCCCCTGGAGCCTGCATCTCTTCTGCAGCCCCAGGCAGCCCCTCCCCCCTTCCTTTTCTGCCTGCTTCACTTGGGCCTCACTGCCCAATAACTTCCAAGGCCACTTCAGCTTCCTTTCCCACAGGGCAGGATAGCAGAATTCTCCATTCTCACAGACTAAGGGAATATTCACTGCTGTCATAGAGGTGGTTCTGGGTGTGTAGGAAATCCAGAGATTGGGGACAGTTGCGTGTTGTGTTCCAGTGGAGGAGCAAAATTAGAAGAATTGGAGAATTTGGAGGGAGGCTGCACTCCTGGAAGGATTGTGATGGAGTGGGGGAAGATAATGCCTGATTTGGGGGGAGGGGGGGCACATGGCGCTTCTTAATGGCCGCCATTCCTCCTCACCAGAAGTGCGCATGCAGGAGATGTTGTCCATGGGGATTGGGAACAAGCCTTTCCTGGACATCAAGCCTAGCGAGGCTGCCATCCATGACCGAGCCATCAATTACATTATGAAAGGCAGAGGTGAGCCCCTCCCCCGCGTGCTCCTCCCGAGGTGCCCTTTGGCCGTCCAAGAGGGCCCCGGTCTCCGTGATGAATTCCTCTCTTTGTGGCAGGCGCCAGGACCCGGGCTTCCATCGCGGTGTCTCTCTTCGACCATGCCAACCCTTTCAAGAGATCTCCGACCACTCTGTCCGCCGGCAGCCGATCCTCCTGCTCGGGGATTGCGCCTCTCAACCTGCACATGTACCTGGATCAGACCTTGCTGCCTACAGTGCTGCCCACCAACCTTCCTTTACGGGCTGGGGAAGAGGAGATGGAGAACGAGACAAGCAGTCAGCCCTCTATGAGTAAGTCCATTCCTCCCTAGCACCATCTCAGAAAGGACGGCCCACCAGGAGATTTCCTGGAGCATCTCTCTTCAGTTAGCCTAATCCTGCAACGGCCACCACAGCCACCCAGCCCCCTCTGGAGCAAAGCAGCTCAGTTCCCAGCCTCTGCCTTGGAAGCCCCAACCTCCCTGAGCGCCTTCTGAGCAGCCACTTCCCAAAGCAGCAGGAAAGGGATACTGGGGGTGACTCAGTGGCTGGCCTTGGGCTCAACCCTAAACATGGGCTAATAGGTGTTCATCTAACGTTGTGTGTCCCAGGGTCTAGTTTCGTGTCATGGCGGAAGGACAAACGTCCTGGTCCATTTAGCCCCCCCACTGGGTGACAAGCCCTGGGGCGGCTTCTGGGTGAGCTGCTTTCTCAGGCCCTTCATGCAGCCGGAGCAGAATCCAAGGGACTTCCAAGCCCAGGGCTGTGGCAGGAAGGTTACCGAGACCCTCGGGCAGAATTGATACCAAACACCTGGCACTTAGTTTGACTTGGAGCAAGACAACCACGTGCCTGTTTGGTTCACCCATTACTTTTCTGGGAAATGTGAGGTGCCAGCAACGTGACTGGGCAGCCCTTGCCTGCAGCGCTCGTTCCTAGCAGGAGAGCTAATTTGGCTCCCCACCTCCCACCCCGACTCACCAGAGGGGCACTAGGGGCGTAGAGGAGCAAGCCTGGCTAGAGGAAGATCAGCAGAGATTTCACGAGGGAAGAGGAAGTCAGAAGCCACACGGATCAGATTGGTGCTGCCTGGTTGACAAAACTCATTGCCCAAAGGCAATTTTGCAATCGTGGCATGAGATTGCTTCCTTTTAAACTTTGCTAAGAACAGAAACAGCCTAGGAATAAACATGGAATGTTCCCAGTGGAGGGAAATGGAAAGTAGATTCCTACCATGAGCCGGGGGTGACTTCTGCTTTTCTGACTTGCTGATAAATGATCCTGGAGGAAAGCAGCAGCAGCAGCCGGCCACGGCGGAGGCCACACTGATCCATTTTGGTGGTGCAAAGGCTGAGCCGTTTCTCCTTCCAGCAGCCCCGCAGCTGCTCAGTGCAGTCCCGTTTAAGAGAGCAAGGATGGAGCCCCTCTGGGCAGGAGGAGGGGGGGCAGGTAGGAAAGGTGCTGAGGGTGGGGGGGGGGGGCTGCAGGAGAAGAAGCCCTTCTCCCCTTCAGCACCAGGGTTGTCTCTTCTCAAGGTGCCCAGAGTTTTCTTCTTTCCCTGTAGCCACCGAGAGCTCTGAGTCTTCCCAGGGCCTGCCTGGAAGCGGCTCCAGCAGTTCTGACAGCTGCCTTCACAACTTGGGTGAGGACTGGAGATCCCCTCTCCCTCCGGCAGCAGCAGACGAATTCTCCTTCACCTGCACAGAGAGGGAGGAAGGCTGTTTCCCCAGCAACCAGTATGTTTCAGCGGTAAGCAAATGGTGCTGGGCAGGCCAAGCCGACGCCTCCCTCCCGAGAGTCCTGCCCCCATGGCTGCTGCAGGGCATAGGGTGAGGATGGTCTGTGCAGGCCACCTGCAGGCTCCTGGTGGGATGAGTAGGCTTGCGTCCTCAAGGACCGGGTGGCTGGGGCAGCCCAGGAGTCTCCCGGTGCATCTCCCACATGCTGCTGTCTTGCAGGTTTGAACGCAGTCAGAAGACCCCAGGACACAGATGGGCCCTTATCCTCCTGACAAGCTCTGCAGGAGGGAAGCAGGGCCAGGCCGCCTCTTCCGGCAGTCTGAGAGCTGAGGGCCCAGGGAAGCGGCAGTGGCTGAGAAAGGCCGGTTGGTGGCTCAAGTGGTGGACCCAAAGGCCAACTGGAGTGGCGGCGGGGGGGGGGGCGGGGGGGGAAGGGCCCGAGTGCTTGCTGCTGGCAGGTTTAGTTCACACCAGATTTTCAGTAATTGTATAAACATGCAGAAGGGAAGAAAACCCAGATGTCCTTATTTCTGCAAGAACCTTAAACCTTGTAATCTAGCTTGCTTTCTTGCCTGGGGGTTACGGATGATTTTGAAAGCAAGTACCACAGAAAGCTAAGTGCCAGGTCACCCCACCTGCCTTCCCGCGAGGTAAAAACAGCAGCCCTGCGTGGTTCTGCTTGGCAGGACAAGGTCTCCATTCTCCACCTGAAGGGAGAAGGTTCATTGGTTTCTGCCCCTTTGGGAGTTTTCTCTGATCCTCTCGTTCACAATAAAGGCACCTGACTCGGACCTTTCAGCCTGTTGAGCTGGTTTTTTTTGAGTTCAGTTGATGCACACGAATGATTTTAAAAGCAAGTTCCACAGTGTTAGGTTGTTTGTTGAGCATACAGGACTCGGGGAGACAACTAGAGGTGGCTGCTGTAGCCCCTCCTTTCCGTGAACCTCCTGTCTTTATGTTAGTTACATCTTTGTTCCATTCACAATCTATAAATATGGCTTTTATTTTATACATTTATTTAAGAATTAACATTTTCACTTTCTGAGAACAGATATTACAGCGGTTTGGTGCAATACAACACAGAGAGCCTCTGTACAGGATTTAGGAACATCAGAAATATTTTTTCCTTAATCTATTATTGGCTTTTATAGAACTTACAAAAAACTGAAGAAAGCTTAGACTAAATTTGGCAGGAACACAGCATCTCACATATTTCTGGGACTCCTTGATTTTGGTTGTTCTTTAATTATTGTTACTGCTAGAAATAAAGTCCTAATATGTAGTCCTAAATGTCCTAATATGTAACACCAATGTTATGTTTAAATCTCAATAAAAAGTTGTTTCTTCCAGTTGTTTGGCTGCATGTTTATTGCTTAGATTAGAATCAGAGTAGAGGTGGAAGGGACCTAAGAGGTCTTCTAGTCCAACCCCCTATTCTAGCAGAAGGCCCTATACCAGTGATGGCTAATCTTTTTCTCGTCACGTGCTGAAAGTGCGTGCGTGCACCCATAATGCAATTCAAGCACAACCCACCCCTGCACATGCACGCGTCTCCCCCTGCGCATACGCAGCAGATACCCGGCAATTGGCTGACTGGCATGCACAGTGGGTCTGTTCCGGTGACCTCTGGCAGAAATGGCTCTGTGTGGCACTTCCAGCCTGCGTGCTATAGGTTTGCCACCACGGCCCTATAACCATGTCAGACAAGTGGCTGTCCAGTCTCTTCTTAAAAACCTCCATAACTTCTGAAGGCAAATTTGTTCCACTGCTTAATTGTCCTCCCTGTTAGGAAGTTCCCCCCCCCCCCTTTCTTCTTTGTGGCAGCCCCTCAAATACTGGAATGCTGCTGTTATGTCACCCCTAGTCCCCCTTTTCTCTAGACTGGCCATACCCAAATCCTGCCACCATACTTCATATATTTTAGACTGCAGGCCTTACCATCTTAGTTGCTCTTCTTCACCATTGTCCTCCTTGTTTTGAAGTATCTTTTTTTCATGATCTTTATTTTTATCCTTTTAGATCATTAAGAATTTAAAAATTTCTAAAGAATTATAATAAAAAAAAATATTTTTATTGAAAAAAAATTGAAAACATTTTTAAAAATTGTGAAAAGAAATTTTTTTAAAAATTGAAAAAAAAAATGAAAAATTGAAAATAAGATCATTACAGTCTTCATGACATCCAGATAGATGCTGCATGGGATAAAGTAGTTCATCTCCACCGGGCCAGACTTGTAATCCCACAAGATGGAGAAAGATGTCCCAGCTGTCTTCGGTCCACAGGGCCTCGGCTCCTTCATCAGGAGGGTGGGCTCCAGGGTGTGTGCTAGAGAATCCACTGAGGGGGCTTATGTGCAAATGGAAATTCACAGACCAAGACCTGTACTAAATCATACAAGGGAGAGATGCAAGTCCTCTAAAATGGAGGCTGATGAATAACTCTGTGGATTTAAAAAGTGCCATGCCCTACATGCTCAATCATAGGCAAAAAATATGCATCACACATTTGTTACAACCCCTCCTTCTTCCATCCACCATTCAGTTACTTCCCCGAGGATGTTTTGGGGCATTTGAGATGATAGGCAAACAGAAACGGGCTTTATGTTCTTGGGAAGAACGTCCTCAAAGGTTGGGAAATTCATAAACATGAAGCTGAAAATGATGAACAGATGGAACAAGGAAGAGGAAGAATAATACCGGGAGTCCCTAAAAATTGAAGGAACTAGCTGAAAAAATAAAGCTCAAAATAAGATGGTTAACAAAAGCAAATTTTAAAAATGTGGTATTCTAAAAAATGACCTTCGGTATGTTAGAAAGTCAAAGACAGCGCAACTCTGCTGGAAGTGGAGAGAGGTGATGTTGAGAAGGCAGAACCCAGAGATTCTGTCCCTGTTTTTCCCAGTGAGGAAAATGAAGCGGTGGCTGATTGTGGTTGTGCCACTGGAGGAGAGAGCTGGCTGCTGAGGATGGACCGGGGGTGGGGGGGGGGCGAGAGGATTCTCTCCTGCAGTTGCTCATCAACTTGGGACAGTCCTGGAGAAGGGCCTGCAAGGCTGGAGAACAGATCACCTCACCCCCCCACCAAAAAAAAGCAGGTGGAGGGAGGGCCTGGGAAACTACAGGGCCAGCAACTTGATTTCTGTACTCCGCAAAGGTCTTCAAACAATTCCTTGGCACGTTTGTGAGCACTCGGTTAAGCATGTTGGAATCGGTAGGAACCAGCATGGACACCTCGCTAAAAAAAAAATGTGCCAGATTAACTTTAGCTGCTTCTTGCTTGGTAGGGTCTATACTCCCAGTTGGGCTCCCAGTTGGCTCCCAATAGTGCCTGTTCCCTGCTTCAGTTCAGCTGGGAAGGAGACATCAGTAGAGTGCCACATCGCTCTGCCCTTGGCCCTATGCTGTTTAACATGATTCACAAAGGGGGAAAAAAATATCGCCCTGGTTCATTTGCAATAATCCTGTGTAGTTCCGGACCCCACCACTCAAAAAAAGGAAACTGACAAATGGTCTCCCAAGTTCAGCCCAGTACAAGATGGAACCGCCTGTCCCATTGTCAGGAAAATTCCCAGGCACCCTTCTTGACTCCTGGATCTGTCAGTGACTGAAGACTAAACTGTAACAAATCCTACAATGAGCCCCGGGAGGATATCCAGGAGCTAATGGAGAACCACTGCAGAACAGCACCGGCTGCAGCTTCAGTGTGTCTTTCTGGGCCCCGTCCATTCATGGCACCTGCTGCAACTTAAACCTCAATGGAAAGGATCCTTGGCTTCATTTGCTGAGGAAGGTATAGTTTTATGCCTTGCATAGCCAGCATGGAGAATTGCATGCCAAAACCCCCAAGTTCAACATTTTCCTCCCATCACTGCCCTCCTCACCCTCCCGACCAATCAGGTTCAAGCAAGATGCTTTGAGAAGGGTCATTCAAAGGTAGGTTGGTATGCAGCTGCCACCTTCTCCCAACTGGGTGGCCTTGAAACAGTTCTGGGGAGATACAGCCAAGGGGGGGTGGGGGGTAAGGAAGCTCTCCCCAAGCAGCAGTCACTTTCGCTTTCCCTCAAGCAGCCCCCCTCCCATTCACTGCCACTGCATGGCATCCAAGGGCAAACAAGAGAAGTCTCAAGTGCCACCCTCCCCCCTGGCCATGGCTTGCTGCTACTGAAGGACCTGAAAGGCAGCTAAGCCGGTTTCTCATGCAGGTCTCCGTGCATGCCAGGTTGTCCGCACTTGTCCGCCCCCATAGAGCACAGGAGGAGGGAACTGAGGCCTCCGGCAATGTGGCCACCTGGACTCCAGACCTGGGTCGCTGGCTCAGAAGGGACAAGCCTGTTTTGTAGAAACCAGCAACTGAAGAAGCCCTACTTGGTTGGCCCCCCTCGCCCCCCATTGTCCCACTGTAGGACCCCTGGGGCCCTCCCTCTGGCTTGCCTCCAACCGGATCCTGGCACACGGCATCAACGGATCTTCTGACCCAACTTCCAGAGAACTCTGAAACCACCCAGATGGAAACAGCCGGAGCAGGGGTCCTCCAATCTCGTTGTATGTATTTTATACATGTATTTTATGGATGCATGCATTTTAATTTTACCAGGTTAATTTCAAAATGAAAAAGAAACTTCTAACAAACTGCAGCAAAAGACTTCAGTTTTATTAAGGGTTCTGTAAATATTTTCCAATAACAAAATGTGAGAGTGATTTAAAGTATCCTTTTTTAATAAGCAAGTTAATGCAGCAGCTGTATTTCCAGGCAAAAGGCAGGGTGAACTGAAAGGAAACAGAGATGCTCGCTAGCAATTTCTGCTGGGTCAAAGGCCACATCTCAGCCTTGGCAACAGCTGCACAAATGGCCTCCTGGGGGGACAGTTGAAATGCCCCCCCCCCGTTTCATTCTCTTTTCAGGGGGAGGTGTCAAGAATCACAGTGGTTTGCTTTCCAGATGCATGCTCATCCAAGCAAAAGCCCACCACCAAAACTGCCATTTTACTGCCACATCTTACTATTACCTTTATTGTCAGAGTACAACAGGTGTACAATGAGATTGGCTGAGCCTCCCTTCGTGCACCCCGCCCCCCCCAACACAACTCACAGTGGGGAGAGAAGAGTCCCTAACCCAGTCCCCGTCTTATTACACTAATCCCATTTTGGTGAACTGAGGGCTGCCAATGGGGTGAGGGTGGGTGGGTGGCATTTGGAGCTGCCTTGCTTGAACTCGTGTCCAGGGATGGGATGCAAAAGTTTTAACTACCGGTTCTGTGGGCGTGGCTAGGTGGGCATGGCCAGGTGATCATGTGACTAGGTTAGCGTGGTTCACCCCCCCCCCCCCTCGGGCCCACGGGAGCCCCCCCGGGGCAAAAAAAGGGGGTGGGGGGGGACACCACCCCCCCGCCCCCCCCCTTTTTTCCCCCCCGGGGCCCGGGGGGGGCCGCCGGGGGGGGGGGGGGGAAAAGGGGGGGGGGGGGGGAATCAGCTGTGCCGCGTGATTTAGATTAGCTAGAAAGCAAGAAATCAGAAGATTCTAAATCGTGCGGCACAACCGATCTTTGGAAAACAGCTGATCGGTGGGAAAAAAAGAAGGAAATATCCTGATCTTTGGAGCGAACTGGTTAGCTCCCAGCTGATCTTCACAACTACCGGTTTTCCTGAACTGGGCCGAACCGGTAGAATCCCACCCCTGCCCTGTCCAACCTGGGCATGCCTCATGTGGCTGAAAGCAAGGCCTGCACTGCAAGTGGCATTTCTCTGTCCCCTGTGAGTGGAAGGCCACAAAACAGGCAAACTTTCCCTCGGGGATGGAAGCCCAACTATCCTTTGCACTTACTTCAATCCACTTCAGCAACTTCTCATAAGAATAGCCATCAGCTTGAAAGGGTGCTGAATTCAGGAGCTCAGCCACAAACTCCTTCGCCGTGATCTGCAGGCGCTGCAAGAAATGAGGGTATACAAACTCCAGAGCCAGAACCTGATGCTCCCTGCTTTGCAAGGCCTAACGTCCTGAAAGAGCCCTTTGGAAGGAGCGGCTGGAATGCCGGAAAGGGCAACGCTTGCTCGCCACCCTAGCAAAAGCATCTCTGGGCTGGAAGCAGCAGATCCCTCCTTACCCACAACCTCCGGACCAGGAGCTCTACTTTGGCAGTGGTTTCTTTGGGATCCTTCTGTCTTATAGAATCCAAGATGACATCCGTGAGGAAACCGTGGCACTTCTGGGCATAAAAAATTTCTTCTTGAGTTAAAGGGAAGCTCAGAAAAACGACATCTGCAGGAGGAAAGAGACTGTGACCCAACTCTGCCTTCTTCACCCTCCCTTCAGCCTTCGCGGGGAATGAAGCCCATGGCCTCCTTCCTCCTCTCCTGGAGCAGGGATGGCCACTTCCTTCACTCAGCATCATAACTCAGCCCCAGGTGAGCTGCTCTTCCAGTCTGCATGCTCTAAGGACAGGGGCACAAGGGGGATCCCCAGTTCCAGTTTTGTACTGGATAATCAGTTTCTCTCCCTTGAGAGAAAGCGTAGCTGCTTCAGTTAGGGGAGAAAAGCGGGGCAATAACTGAAGATATCATTAGTACCGAATGCCTGGAATCATTCCTGCAATGTGTCTGGGGAAATATGATGCCCTGCCGTCCTCATGATCATTTGACCTTTTCTCAGATTGGACTCATAGCATAACGACCAGCAAGTCCATGCATGAGATTTTAGAGTGACATCTTGCTGGGGAGATTTCCAAATTTCTTTTTGGATGTTATGTGTGCACAGCCTCCCTTAGGAAGTTTACCCACGCGCGCAACTGCTCTCTACCTTTGTCCACTGGGGGTGCCAAGGCACAGGCCAGAGTAAGCTCTTCGGCGCCCATGCTGTAGAGAATGCTGCCTTCATGGAAAACACAGGAGCCATCACCCGGCACAACGGGAGGGTGCTCAACCTTAAGAATCAAGCCCCTCATATCAAGGGCTTGGCAAGGAGCTGTTTCTTCAAGGGCTGTTCCTGCAGAGGATGCACAAAATAGTCCCATGGATGGTTTGAACAAGGCAACGTCTCTGTGACTACAGTACAAAATCTCAGCCATTTAATTGCAATTAATCAGTAAGTCCCATTTCACTCTGCTTCTGCAACAAGTCTCATGCCAGATTTTTAACTGCTAACAATTCCTAAAATATTTCACAGATAGGTCCCCTGGTGGCTTACACTTACTAAAATATAGCACATGGAAGTAACATTGATATTACAATTTTTAAAAATAAATTAAAAGCTTATTTTTTATTAATTCCTTGGACCAAAGTCTGCAGTTGTGACATGCAATGCTTTCTTCTTGGAAACCACCTGGTCTACTTTTGCAACAAGTGAGAGGCGTTGAAAACGATCCTTGAAGGAAACGGTTGGGAGGAATGAAGAGCAGATGGACAGGTGGTAAAAAAGGACCCTGGAGATTCCCATTCATGACAGTGAGTGGAAGCAACTTTCCATGGGCAGAAACCAGAAACCAATGGCATAGCTGCACCACCAGAAGCCAGAGGCAGTTTTCAGGCTCGTATAGATTAGGGGTGGGATTCTACTGGTTCTGTCCGGTTCTATAGAACCCCTTGTTAACTTTCTAAGCAGTTCGGAGAACTGGTACTTAGAAGCAATCTCCTTTTGTTTTTTTCCACCCTTATTACATTTCTTGCCAGTATGCCTAGACTTCCTGTCTCCGGAGCTTCTGGGGCTTGACTTTCTTAAAGGGGAAGGGTTGTTTTAAGATTTTTATACTGCTGTTGGGAGGAAATACTTCCCTGGACAATCAGCACTTTGAAGAAATAATTGAATAATGAAGCAAAGCTTTTAGTGACAGGGAACCAAGATGAGTGACATTCAGCAAGGCTTCTTGGCTAGCAAACGTGAGCTTACATACCCTTTCTGAGTTTTGGTCTAAAACTGGTTTTTGGTGAAGGTTAATTCTGTACTTGGTGACATTTCATCCTGTGTTTATTTTTCCCCCCCAAATATTTTTTATTTCAATCTGCATATGCACAACAATACATTAACAGTGTGGCATCAATATCTCATACGTTTTAGTTTAGGCAAAATTAAAAATACCAATTATATCTCTCAATGCATATATTTCACATTAATTCATAATCCTTCAATGCTTACTTTCAATCTTTCAAAACTCTCTCCAAATGCCTACCACCATATCAGTTAAACATACCTAGTAATTCCATTATTCAATTTTCTCCCTGCTTTTATTTTATTTTCTAAAATAAAATATTCTCATTTGTCAAGCAGTGTGGTTCCAGGTTTCACATCTCAATACAAACATGACCATAGTTACCTGTTCATTATATTTGTTTAGTTTCATATTGTATCATCCTTATTATTGTTAAATATTAAGCTTATCTTATCCAATTCCAATTCATGTTATATTAATACATTCTCATGTCTTATTTTACAATATCTAAAATTCTCATCTCATTTCTGTTGTCATTTCTCATATTACTTTTTTGTCACATTTGTCATTTTATCAATCCTTATCTGTAAATATAATTGTCCCCTCTGGTTAATAATTCAAGCTAACCACCTTCATTCTACCTTAATATCAATCTCCCTATCTAGTATATAACACAAATATATATGTTTTTCTCAGATTCTGCATTATACTTTCTCAAACACCTTATGAATCATCTATACATTTCAAAATACTATTTTCAATATATTCTTATATATCACAACAGATTACCTTGCGGAATCTCCTTCCTTATCCTTTTTTTTTTCACCCATTATCTCTCACTCTTTGGACAATGTAATTTCTTTTCATCCTTCTTTGTTTCCTATTTCTCTTTGTTTTCTGGCCCTTTCTCTTAATTCTCTTTTTTCCCATTCTTATTCCCCTCCATTTCTCATTCCAGTTATTAAACTTTTCTCTCTCCCTCTTTTGATTTTTCTTTTGCCCTTCCTTTTTCTGCTTTTTCCCTCTCCCTTTATCCATTTTCCGAACCATTCTCCCTTTCATCATCCCATCAGACCCCAAATTTTTAATTCTAATTCCTTTCCCCCCTCTGCTTAAATAATTGTTGTTCGTTTTGTCTGTCAATGTTGACGTCTTCTTTATAGAACTCCTCCCCCTCTGGTTTATTTTGTTCTTGTGTATGCTGAGTCACCATTTCTAATTTCTGTAGTACATAATTGCACATTTCAAGTTTAATTTTTATCATGTCCTTTATATCTTGCAAATCCAATCTTGACTCTTGTAAATCCAATCTTATATCAACAAATAGTTTCTCCATTATATCTTCTCCTTTTTTTCCTTTTCTTTCCTCTTCCTTAATAGTTAAAATCCTCTTCTTTAATATATATATTCAATCCCAGAGTCCAGTATATTATTTCAGCCAATATCTTTTGAATTTATTTTCAACAATCCATACTCTTGAGTCTTTGTTCGGATGGTTCTATAACAATAATAAAGTTTGTTTTATTTTCTTTTAAGTTCCAAAATCCAAACTCTTGAGAAGACCAGACACTTTTTAAAACGTACTGAAGTTTTCCTGTACCATCAGGTGGCGCTCTTGAGTATTTTTACCTTTAACTTTCTTTAATGAATATAATACTTTTATTAAGTTCGCTAATTTCAATCATTAGCTATTATTTCTTTTCTTTTCAACACTCAATTTCAGCATTTAATTATGCCCTTTAAGTGCCCATAATTCAATAGTTATCCAGTTTAATTTCTAAACCTTTGTTGTATTAAAGTATTTTCCTTTAAATTTTCTCCTCCAAATTAATCCAATCCAAGTTTTATAGGATCCAATATCTTTCTTACTTTCTCTGGTCGCCGCTTCCACACACTTCCCTCCAAGATAGCCCTTTATTTTAATACTGGGGTACCTCAAAAGTGATGTCCTTTGCCTGGTTCACACTCTGCTCACTACTTCTCTGCTCCAGCACAAAACTTAGTTTCCCTGAGTGTTCTTTGTCTTCGTGGTGGCCATTTTAGGACCACCACTGCAGCTTGCCTTTGGGAGGGATTTTCCTGTCAGGGAGGGGAATTGCGGCTCCCCTCGACCCTCCAGGCGATTTCCCCACCAGGGTGGTTCTGGTCCCAATCAGGACCCTGCAGCAAGTGAGCTCGGGCGAAACAGCGCATGATCGTGGATTCCGCTCCGACTCTGACGAGGAACAAACTGGAAGTCCCAATCCTGTGTTTATTGATGGGATAATTTTCCGTATTCAGCTTCAACAAGGAACAGCTACTGTTGTGATTTAATTATTTGTATTGTGTTTGAATTTTTTCCTGCCTCATGGTTTCTTTTTCTTTCTGGGAGGGGGTCTTCCTTCACTGCTTTAGTACTATCTGGCACTGTCCTTTTGGGGTATACTTCCAAGAGGCAGGATGCAAGCTTGGCACTGATTTTTTTTACAGCCTTTCTGGGGGGCATATGACCTTTCCTTAAATCTGGATGATTTCCTTAGGTTATCTTTGTGAGGTGAGTGAGACCAGCTGGTATCTTTAAGTGGTGCAAATGGATCTAAGGATTGCTTTTCTTGGGTGTGCTTTTTCTGGAGAGCTTAAATGACCTCTCTGCTAAAGGGTTTCATTTTATGAGCAAGAAATGGCTGCTTGATAGTTATCACTGCATTTCAACTATTTTCATTCCTCAAGGTGCTCTGGCACCCTGCCTGATTTGTAACTCTGGCTTGCAGGTATTTTTAATTTAATGACTGGTATTTAGGGCAGCTTTTTGCAAGCAAAGCAGCTTTTTGTATTTTTGTACACGTAATCCTTGACTTACAACAGTTCATTTAGTGACAATTCAAAGTTACAATGGCACTGAAAAAATGACATGACCATTTTTCAAACCTATGACCGTTGCAGCATCCCCACTGTCATGAGAGGCCAGGCGAGAAGCATCCCTTGACATGAGTGATGTCAAGCTGGCCACGCCCACCCAGTCACATGACCACCAAGCCACACCCACCAACTAAGCCACGCCTACAGAACCTGTTGTTAAAAAAACGGAATTCCACCCCTGGTACAGATGAAGCAGATTGTGAGCGTTCGGGGAAGAGAAGCAGACAGGATGATTGTGGGGAGGGAATTCTGAAGTCACAATCTCAAGTAAGACCTGTGCACTACAGAAATTAGGCATGTTACTGAAATTAGTCCTCTAAACATGCTCAGTGAAAAACCAAAAAAAAGAAATACTGGCCTTTGTTGTGGTAAACCCTCATGTTCAGAACATGAGAATTAAAAAACCCAAGAAGAGCTTAAATTCTGTGGTAAACATGATTCAATGAGCATAATGCAGACACGATGACAAGATAGAAACTGAGGGAAATTTCACATTTTACTTATAGCTCATTTCTCTAACTTAACTACATTGTTTCTAATGTGGGACTTATTTCTCACACAGCAGCATCTGGCGGGAGGAAGGAGGTCAACAACAAAGGCAAGATGGCGGCCATGACAGTGTCCAAAGGGCCAAGGGCACCTCCATGATTTCACCTCATGGCAAAAGATTGCCCAAATCAAAGGGATGGGAGCCAAGGAGCCTGTCTCGTGGGGGTCAGCAATCCCATCTTCCAGTCGGCAAGACGGCTTCCATCTAAAGGCCACTCTGCCAAACATGACTGTGAGGGAGATGTCTGGATTACGGCGGCTTCACTTTCTTCAGTCGGTATGTCCCTGGGTCTCTTGGGAGCTTGCCTCGCCTCAGTGGAGCCAGGTCTGACACTGAACCCACTTTGGTAACACCTGCAATGTTGTTTGTGAGTCCTCATAAAAATGACAAATGAAAATATTACAAAGCACCCAGGAGTGCTGTGGATAGCATCTGGCTCGATCTCTCCAATTTCATGAGAAACTGCTGGCAGCCCAGATGTTCGTCCATTAGGCACTCCACTTCAGTCTAAGGAACATGGCTCAGACTATTTTTGAGAATAATTTGTGAGAACAATCAATCCATGGAACAGCCTGCCTCCTGGAGTTGTGGGTGCTCCGTTGCTGAAGGTTT